TTTAGGGAGTTAAGTAACTGAGCCTATATATATATATTTGACCATTAACAAATGTGTATGAGACCATTAACAGACCATTACAGTATGAGACCATTAACAAATAAGAAATAAGAACTGAATATAGAGGAAAATTTTACATGGTGACCCTTCTTTTCTGTCTGTTCTCATCTTTATAGAATTAAGATGAGTATCACATAAAGGTGGAGATAAATGCTGCTATACTTCGGAATGCTTTTTGTAAAAAAGACATAATATGAATAATAATTAAGTCTTTTTTAGCGCAGAAGATTCTTATGACCTCTACCATCGTACGAATAATGTCTCGAAGATCCTTATGTGCTGCTGCGGACGGTAGAGGAACACAGAAATCCACAGCTATGTTTTATCGATTTTTTCCCACCTACTCTCCTACGTGCCTCCTGGAAACTTTCCATGGTGGGCATCACTCCCTACCCACCCCACACAATCCCTTTCCCTCCTATTCCGTATTGCACCTATGTGTGCACACGCTTGTCCAAATAAGCTTCAAAATGGAGGCATAGCTCGTCGCTTTTTAACAAGAGGTATCCTATTCCAAACCCTCAAACTTGGATTCAGCTGGGCGTCGCGTTTCGTTGCTTTCTTGGGAGGGTTCTGACATGAGGAATGTGTCTGGAATAATATGAGAAATCGAAGCGTCGAAGTTTCTCTGTGGTTATTGGAATTCGATCGCATGATAGGACCATACATATGGCAAAGAACGGTTCCCTTATTACTAAAGCAAGGAGATGATTACAAAGTTATATCTATAAGGTTTTTTTGTTATAAACTTTGTGAGTTAACCCTTAACCTTAGTCAGAATAATACTGCAGTTTCATTCCATTGTGTTCTCAGAGACCGTTGCCATAAGTTAGCTGCAAATAACATTCTTTTATTACATACAGTTCAATCTAGAAATGAATTATTGATTTAACTATGCTATAAAGTTCTGTTACAATAAAATTAGAGGTTCAAACATTTAATTAAAATAATTTCACTGTACAATGATTTTTCCTTCAGCCAGCGTGCTTATCTAAATTTTAAAATGTAAATAATATAAAATCTTAAGCAATACTTAATGTATATTAAAAAATGCTCAGAATTTTTATTCTGCCGAAAAGCCGAAAATTGCAGAATTTAAATACGAATTAAACGCTTGTGATGTTAGCAAATTCTAAGAAAACTCAATGGATAGAGGTTTTTGGCAAGATCAATATATATTCGCTAGGGCTAAGAAACAGATTTAATATAGAGATAAGAAATAATTATATCTAGATTTTGTACTTTGTTATGTAAAATTTTGTTATGAATATTATAATTCTTTGGTTACAACAATAAAAGTGAAAATCCATATTATCCTCTGAATTCGATTTTTTTTTAACCATCATCTCTTAATATTATAGCTAAAATAGAAATGGAAAACAAAACAACTGTATTTTTTAATTGACCATAAATTTGATTTAAATTAGATGAAAACTTCAGCCCAGTAGCGTCGAAACTTCTACTAAAAAGCCTTTATATATAAATAGATGTATTTCTTATAATTCTGCTTCTCTTATGCATGCGTACAAATCAGAAATAGAATATTTAATTAGTAAATGCTCTTAATACTGCCAAGATACTGTATTAATATCATTTATTAATTAAATAATATTTTCCAGTTTCTGATCTGTATATATATAAATTGAATAAATGCATTGAATATATATAAATTTAATTAATTTTTCGCGCCATTGCTGCAAGGAATGAAATTTAAATATTAACAAACATGTATATACGTAAAAAAGCAAATTTAAAGTTAAAATAATGTGCAAACATATAAAAGATTTAATTTTCGAACTAATCTACAATATCATTTAAATTCAGATAGCATAAGTAAATCAAGTGCAAAACCAAACCATTAAAATAAATTCACCAATTTAGCAAATTAAAATTAATCTAATTTTTTTTTCTAAAAAAATGCATAAGTGAATGACCATTGAGCAGGCAGGAGACAGACTTATCAAGGGGAAGTTGCCTCCAAACCTAACTCTTCAATCATTCAACTCGTGTTTCGTCATTCATGCAAGCAAGGGTAAAAGTCAAAACCAAAAGTAAATACAATTTGATGAATGTCCAAAAAGAAATACCAACTAAGTGGTACCTTGAGTAATTAGCAATTAAAAATTAAAGGTCCAAAAGGAAAACATATCTTTAGAATTTCCGATAGACAGTCTCGAGTGTCCAATACACATATTTGAATTTTGTTTCACTTTCGTCAGGTACGCATGCGGAATAAAATAGCACTAATGATTGATGATCTCAGCTAATTTACAGTATCCACTCATCTTGTAAACACAAATTAATAACTGTAGTGCTATTTGCTTTAAAACACTTTGAAGTTTACGTGAAAGGCTCGAACTGACTTCTGAAGCACTGCTGAAATCGCATATAAGCACATAGTGTATAGATATATATCATGGAGGTAGGAAGTAAGATGGAGTCGCCCTAAACAAGTTTCTCGCGTACCCTGCTCTGAAGCACCGGCGATCCCTACGTGGTGACCAAAACATTGGGTCATTTACCATTGAGTTCAATGGGATTTGACGCGTTCGGATGTAAATATTTTGTAATTACGTCGTAAATATACATATAAATGTATATATTTTCTTTTTCTACAACACTTCAGAGTCCTAAGTATATGAAACAAACATATTTTTAAACAACATTTCATTTTGAACGGAATTAAATGCTATACTTTTCGCAGGACAGTTTTCTCAGAATGCTTTAATTTGAATGAAATATTTTCACAAGTTTTCGTTAATTACATTAGAAAAAAAATTAAGGTAATTCGATTTTATTCGGTTGTGTTATTAATATTAAATTTATGCATTATTTCTTTTCTATTTATAGAGCTTCTTCCTAAAATACTTTCTTAAATATGACATGGTTTTTTGGCTTCTGAGGCATCTTTTAAATCGAAAAATGTAAGTCAATTTATAATTAATGCTCTATTCGGTTCATTTTAAATTAGAGAATTATTAGGAATTAGCGAAATACTTTAAATAGTATGACTTGACTTTCTCTGAAGATTTCTGAAAGTTAATAAAAAATAAGTTTTTTTTAAGTATTATTTAAAACTTGTAACTTATAACTGTTTTTATAAAATGTAAGGGGAATAATTCTTTTAATTATACTTATCAGATTTTTTTTACCCTTCATTTCAACAATACATATTCCAAAACTCTTTATTACGTTCTTAAGTGCGCATCTCATAGCATTTGCTTTACAATACCTTTTAACAGATTGCTTTCCATTACGAACAATTCTTGCTTAAATAGTTTTATAACGTATTTGTCAACAGGATTTCAATTTATGTTTACAATTCAATATTAAGGTTATTATATATATTTAGATAACATTTATAATCATTATAAATTAGATACATTTAATAATTAGATTTCTTCACAGTACTTTCACAGTTGTTTATAAGTGAATAAATTCTTCATTTCAAATACATTTATAAATAATTTAATGACCTGCGTACGTTAAGAAGCCAGCATAAAACTCGAATTTCCGAGAAAAAAAGACTTGCGTGGGAAACATTTAACAATCTGGAATCAATAAGAGGACCATTCATGATCGGACCTCCTTTGGCAGGATATACAAATGTTTTCACCTCCGTCGATTACCCTATTTTCAAATTCTTAATAAGCTGTCTTGATGATGTAGCACGTTCACATGGTCACATCATCTTGACCGCACATGGTACTTCCGCCAAATTCGCAAATGTATCCCTCTTCTGTTCCACACATTTGTGTAAAACTGTACATAATTTTACACAAATGTGTGGTTCCAAATCAAGGGAAAGCTAACTTATTGGCATATCTGTGTGTATATTTATTAATTTTGACGAGGATTGCAGCGTTTGATGGTAATTTTATTTTTAATTAACCCAAATAAGTAAAACGCGTATGCGCAAAGTGATTATTTTTCAGATATATAAAATTAAAACGATGAGTTTAAAATGGGCAGCAGTAAAGCCTCTCCTCGAAAAATTTTAAAAGGTACATGTTAAATAATATATGGATATGAAAAAAATTTGTTTTATTTAAAAAATTTTTGGCGTTTGGAAATAAAATAAAAGTAGCGAATACTCTAAAGGGTATCGAAGACGTATACAATTTTAAATGTACCGTAAGGTGTTTTTTCATTCTTTAAGCATAACATTTTTCTTAAAATCTATATTTTTGTAGTTCAACAGCTTAGAATTTTATTAAAAAAAATTCATAATCAAAATCGCTGTTGTTAGTTATCGAAAAATAACCAAGATGTGATTTTTACGTAAATGTCACTAAACTATACAAATTGCTATTATCCATCACACTATGAATGTTTCTTTCATGCGCAAGTGTCCCTTTTCCGATTTTTATGGAACTGTCGTGTGTCGAAATACTATCAAAACCCTGTCAACCGAGCTTCTGAATGTAAACAAAGAACACCCCATCTGGTGACCCAAGCTTCAAAGCAGTGCTTCACTTCTAGCGCCGGTTGGCTCTTCCTTCCTTTCCTACCTCCATGATATATATATGTACTATATATCCAACCAAATGCTAGAGATGTTTCATCAGATACGCAGAAAATAAATTTGATTGACATAGACAGATTCTGTCCTGTCGGTTCATTAGAAAAAAAGAGAAAAAAAGAGAGCTTTAAAAGTACCAGTTTTAACCCAATACTGAACTAAACTAATCTGGAAAAAAAAAATTTAGGTCGAAAAAGCCTATGCTATTATTTAAACCACAGGTGCAAAATTAGCAAAGTAAATTAAACATATCAAATTAAGTTTATTATTTATTATTATTCCGCCTGCTATACCTCTCAATGGGCACTACAGGTGAGTCATGTTATCCTGATCGTTGCACCAGCTACTTTTTTGTTGTTGTTTATCTTTTCAACCTTATAATTAATGAACAGATTTAACATTAGTGTATTCCTTTTATTGGGTGCTTCAACTTACAATGTTTTGGGTATGTTAGTATAAAATTAGCAAAAACAGTTAGTTTAGAGGGTATTTACATATATACATGAACGGAGGCTTGCTGCCTTTACATTTCTTCAGGCGCCTAGACTTGGTTATCTGCTATGATTATGTTTCTCTTAGAATAGACATACTCTATGATGGTTCTGATGCCCCGATGTCCGTAGTAATTCTGAAGAAGGTCTTTGAGGTTATGTGATCCCTGGAGCTGAGGTAGAAAGACTGTGATGGGAGAAGTGAGTGGACAGCCGTGGATGTAATGTGAGACGTCTGCTGAAGAAGCTGAGGCACCGCAGGCGCATTTGACGTGTTAACGGCAGAACTTGCTGAGGTACACGGGAAATCTTACGTGATTTGTGAAAGCATGTTGTAGGTAGAAGTCTATTTTGAGCCTCTTGGTGGAGATCGACCGGTGTCAGGTGGACATGAAGGTGCAGAAGAACTTGCATTTGTCAGCGACTATGGAGAGTGGGATCTTTGAGTCGATGGAAGGGTGACTTTAGCTCCTATAGCTAAAGCGTCGGCCCTTTCGCTACCTTGGGTACCTTGATGACTACATACCCAGCATAGAGACACTTGTCTGCAAGAAGACAGGATAACAAGAACTTCTTTTAATGAGGAGATGTGGAAGTGCCATTATTGTTCAGGGCCTCTATGACGTTCAATCAAATTAAGTATAAAAATTCAAGTGCAGAAGTCATCAAATTCATAGTTTGAACAAATTCACTTTAACACAAGTAAGAAAAAAGTGAAAGTAAAGGAACAAAAGTACTTATACCCTGACGTGACAGTTGTTAGTAATGCTGACTACCGTATAAAAGGGCCGGATTCGAATCCTGAAGAAGGCTTGTTCGTATAGTGTATATGCGGCACAGGGGCACTCAAAACATATGGCGAGCCGAATATCCTTTCGATTGGTTTGTTGTTATAGGAAGAGTGGTGGAAGATCCTCGGATTGGTAGCCATCTTTCAAAATTGGGGTGGAACTGGGCAAAGTCGTACAGTTACGTATATGGTGCTCAAGGATCATGCCACGAACAGATGCCATTTTCCATTCCTTGCCGCAACAAAATTCGTGGGCTTGTCCTGAATAGGTCAAACAAATGAGAATGAAACACAAAACAGCAGAAATTAGATTTATTTAACTTACAATCGAATTGTTTATGAAATTTTTAACATATTAAAATTTAATTTTACGTTGCATTAATTTTAACGTTTCGAGTGGTGGAAGTAAAAATTAGGAAATTGTGCAAACAATTAAAAATTGCCAGAGCGTCGAAAGGACCTTGAAAATAAATTTTCTCGTTTACTAGTAATAGGATAGTGCATCCAGTACCTTCTTAGCAAAATTTAAAGTAATCCCTTCACTGCAGATTTTTTTTTTTTTTTTTTTTAACTTTGCCTGTCTAACCGTTTTTAAGAATATTTTGAGGACATTATACGTGAGATGCTCTAACAGGGAATAATTTTAGCACCCATGATGCGGTGATCTTGGGAATAAACGTTTCGTATCAAGAAAGCACAATTAAGATTTCGCCTATCAAGCCTCAACTCCAACACTCATTCCTTCCTCCATTAAATATTATTCCATAACAGTACGCCATATCAACACCAACCACATACAGAGCAGCAGTTCCTCAGGGGCACCCTCACAGATGTTAATCTGCAGTATAAGCTGGTAAATCGGCGTTATCATTTCATATTCTCTAGATATTACTTCATCCGCTATTAATTTAACTAATATGCAGTTTGGTGAAGCTGAACAGAAAAAAGTTAAACTGCTTATTTAATTAGCTAAATCGTACGATGTAAATAAATAAACGTCAAGATTAATTTTATTTGATCTGCAAAGAACAGGCAATCCGGATAAACAGAGTTCTAGGGATCTGGAATCCGATAATTGAAGTTATACTGTAAATTCTGGCAATCGTATATATTATTCCCATTTCGATTTCTTCGACTTCGGTGAATTTACATTTGTAGGATTTTCCTTGGCTCAATTAACCAATTATTCAAATTTTTGTTATCTTTCCTGAACTTCTCAACTTTCCCGCGCATTTCCTCTCCGGGATGCTAATTTAAAGTTAAGTGAAGTCAGTATTTAAACGGATGAATCTGGGAATTTACTCAGAGCATGTTTTCGGTAGCCAGTGCACGTTACGAATCTGTCCTTGGATTACGCGGAGTTGCCTTTTGGCCATTTAAATAATTATCGCATTGGGTAGGTTGTCGAGTCAGCCTTAACTTAAAGTGCTAGTCCAGCACTACTCTTTAGACTTTAATTTATTGTGTCACGATTGTTAATAGTCCCATCGCAAGTTGTCGGTGTTACTTTCTCATCAGAGTTGAGAATAATAAAACGATTATTTTCACCCTTCTTCTGTGCTGGTATTTTTTCACGCCTGTGCGAGAAGTCGCCAGGTTCCTTAGTAGGATCTGGTAGGGTTTATGTGGCCAAAGAGAGAAAGATCCTATACTTTAAACATCAGTGTAATCCGCATGCTAACTCTGACAACGAAATAGAGCATTAGAGGGTATCAGAAATAGATCTTTATGGTCAGTTGCATCATGGGAAAATTTTGTTGCCTCCCTTAAATACTTTTTTATAGTATTTTGCACTTTTATCGAATATCGTATGTCGTAATGCTTTTTTCCTTTTCTCTTAGGCTAAAAGAAGCCGGATTCCCTGTCCACCTTTTGCCAGATGTTACCATCGCAGGGAATATCGTCGGTCGGATGCCATGTGCCTGGTATGGTATACCAGAAGGAACGCCCGTATTCGCTGCCTTAGGAGATATGCAATGCTCTGTTTTCTCAAGCATGGAAACTGAATCTGATGCTGGTAAGTTTCCATACTCTACAACGTTTCTACTTTACTATATACTACGTAATACATAATTGCTTTGTCATCAATTCTGAATTTTGAGAAAGTATTGAACTAGATATCGTGCAGCTTCAGCTACTGTGTAGACATTCCTAAACAATAAAATAAAGTTTTTCCCCCATTCTACTGGCGAATGTTTGCTTTGGTAGTCGCTGAAAAGTAACCATTTTCAGGCTGTCAGAATCCATCTGGTTTGGTGATTGAACGCCAGATGTGTTGCTTCTGGGTTTGATATTGCTCGTCACTATTAAAAGTAGTTCAGTAAATTCTAACTGACGATTTTACGCTGGATATAATTATGTTACAACTGCAACCAGACGATGTTGGCTTAAGATTGGCGTTTCCTAAAAAAGTATCACGTCTAAACTTTGGCAGAGATCCCAGCGTCCCAGTAACATCATCAATTTTCCCTAACTACTAAATGACAAGGCCGAAATTTAGATGAGGAAATTTCTATGTAGTATCTTTCAACAAATATAGGACTACTGATTTATGACACAGCTTTGAAAGTTTTTCGACATCCAGATAGGGATTGTATAACCAGAAGGTTGAAATATGCAAAATATCTTTGACTACTATCTGAAAAAATCCCATTCAACCTGGCACACTGAGCTTTAATAAAATTCAGAAATTATGAATATGTATATTGCAAGACGAGTCTAACCATGGTTTACACCAAAAGTTTCTATGTAGGTCTTCTTGCTATGCCAATTGTAACTCATACTCGTATTTAAACCATACCGTGAAAGCACCGTAACAGCCTAGATATACTGCAGTATATTCCTCTAATACATATTATTCCCAGTTTTTCACGAGTCTTAATTATGGTTCTAATTCCCGCTATAGTATGGTTATGATTCGTGTAAATTAAATTGAAATTATTATTCAAATTCCTGTTTTGGATGACAAAGCACGCTCTTTTAGAGCTGGCCTAACAGATGAATGTTTAAGACGAAATGTTATCATGGGACAGTAAGAATTATCTCATTCGCTATATTTTCCCAAATATGTCATTTTTGAGCATGCAAGCGAAAAAAATAGAGCAGATTGCTAGACATCTTTAGGATCTGGAAACAATATGCATGAATAATGCATACATGAACAATATGCATAAATAATGCATACATTAAGAAGTGGACAATATTTTTTACATGCTTTTTCATGTAGACAGTATTGTCCACTTCTTACGTTATGCGTACTATTAATTAAGACTATACAATATAAGTATTATTCATGAAATTTCAGTAGATTTTACTCAGTAGTTTTGGTTTAAAATACCGTTTTATTAAATAAATTTATGCTTATTGTTTTCTTTATGTTCCTCCGATATTTTATCACTGCAGTTAGTTTTTAATTTAATGAAGATGATAGAGTATATTTGAGACATCTGAAAACAAATTATGCAGCGCAGATGTATAATAAACTGTCATTTAGTAACAATGTATGTAGCTAATATTTTGAACGTTAATAGTACTGATTTAAAAATTTATTTAGAAGAACGAATTATTTTAAGCTTCACTTTTTTAAAAAAACTTCTAAATAATGTACACGTTTAATTTGGAAAGATTAAATGGGAGAATTTTGAGTTATGTCATTTGACATCCCTTGACCTGAATTTTCACGGCTCGGATGTAATTTAAATAAAATAAAAACTAAAAAAATGTTTAGGGTAAAACTAATCTCCAAGTGCAAAGGGGATTTAAAAAAAAATAAGGCTTAAATTCTTCTCTAGTATCGAAATCTTTTTACTTCCTAGTACGAAGTAAAATAAGTGTTATAATCGCGAAAATTTTCTGGTATTATATTTCAAAGAATATATCCATTTTGGCAGCTCTCGAATCCATTTGAGCGATGTTTTTGCGTGACATGTGTACGTAAGGACAGACTAAAGGACTCTTTTTCTAAAACGGATTATAAAATGGATTAAGAATAGATTTTTTTCATGACGTCTGTACGTACGTACGTATATGTCTCGAGTAACTCAAAAACGAATAGCCATAAAATGTTAAAATTTTGTGTATGGACCTACTATAACATATAGTTTTGCACCTCCCTTTTGTCGTAATCGACCGCACCAAACCTATATATGTATATATATATATCAAGCAAAGCAGTAAAAACAATTTTGGTCAAGAAAACATCTTGCGCAATATGCTGCACACTGAGAAAATAAATTAACAGAATTTGCATATTTTATCGAATTGCATGAAAAGAACTGAACTGAAGGAAAAACTACTGCTTCTAGATAAAAATGCAAATCTTGTACGCAAATACGTAAGCGTACACGTGTGTGTAGGCGAAGCCAGCAACAAAAAGGCTGTATAAGCGCGTGGAGGGTAAGACGAATTGCGTTCGCTAGCACACCTCGGTAAATTTCTTGGTGTTATCTTGCAGCAATCGGTTAAATTCACATCGGAACAGTAAAAATTAGTAACCACGAACGTTTAGTTGATGGAATAAGGTGGCGAATTATGGAGAGGCTAGAGGCAGGCCAATCGCAAGTCCAGATATGCAGAGAGTTTAATTTAACGCGCAACATCGTGTGTTGTTTCCAGGATACTGAATCCATCGAGAGAAAGCCTGGGCAAGGTCATCCAAGAGCCACGACGGCTAGAGAAGATCGCTATTTGTCTATTTTAGCGAGGCGTAAAAGAGAGGCTACAGCTTCTCAGCGCTCTCGGGACCTGTATGTAGCCATAGGAACCTGTGTAACAAGGGTGATTATTTCCAAAAGACTAAATGAGAGAGGGTTGTTTGCCAGAAGACCGGCGTTTTCGTCCTGCTCACATCTACGGACAGGAGAGTTCGATTAGCATGGTATAGGCAGCATAGAGATTGGAGTACGGAGCAATGGGCGACCGTTTTAGCCTAAATACTGTTTCTTGCCGTCTTTTCATATGGAGAGAGCCAGGCACCCGCTACCTACCCTCCAATGTCCGCGAAATCAAACAATTATGGCGATGGCGGTGTAATAGTCTGTGTAGGCATCATGTTGGATGGCCGCACACCTCTCCACGTCTTTGACAGAGGCTCTGTGATTGGTGTGAGGTATAGGGATGGAGTCTTGGAGCGTATGCGTATTTTCCAGGCTGCAGTTGGCCCCGAGTTTATCTTACAGGACGATAACGCGAGGCCACATAGAGCTCTTCTGGTCGACGAATTTCCCCGAGAGTGATGATATTCGCCGGATGGATTGGCCAGCCAGTTCTCCAGACCTCAACCCTATAGAGCATGTCTGGTACGCTCTGGGGAGGGCAATTGAAACTGGCAACCCCCCTCCGAGAACCATCCAGGAACTGAAAAAAGCGTTGCTGAATGAGTGGGACTATTTGCCACAGGCACAGATAAACTGCCTTATTCCCAGTATGACATCACGCTGCAAGGCCTGTATGGCTGTAAGAGGGGACCATACCCCCTATTAACCCATTTCCTTTGTGTCTTCTGCAACCGCTGTTTCAGACCTTCAGACTCCCATGAGTATTACACACGAACATGTGTGTCTATTATAACTGTTGAATGTTTATTTTGTTTGTATTATGTCAACCTATGTTATACCAAATTTTATTAAAATCTGCCCTGTAGTTCTGGAGATCGTACATCAAATATGAAAATTCTGTTAATTTATTTCACCAGTGTATATGGCGCAAAAATTTTGACCAAAATTGGTCTTCTTAGTTTTGTTCTTACAACCTTTCTTATAATAATATTCTATATATACTCGTATATAGAATGATAAGAAAAGGAGAGTAAAAATTAGCTAAAGCCGTAAAGAACATTTGAATTATCTAATTCCAGATATTACATGTAAAACAAAGTTAAAATCTAATCTAAACAAAGTTTAACCTAAGCAATAAATTGTACGCGAAGAAACCTACATAGTAAATAAGAAAATTAGAAAAACCTATATTACAAAATTGGTACGCGAAAAATCCTAAACAATTTACAAAATACTGAGAAATATTACATATAAAAATATGGTCAATCTACTCTGTTCAAGGCTTCAAACAGAACTTGTCAAGGAAAAAGTGCCTGAAGCCCTCAACAAGTTTATGACCCCAAAAACAAAATAAAACAGGCACTTTCGTCAAACAAACCCATTGAGACTGAAAACGGCTTTCCTAGCTATTAAATTTTAAAAAACTTTTTTTCATCTATTACTATTTGTCCCTTTTCTCGACGTGTCTGCGTATTTTAAAACATTAAAGGTCAAAGCTAAAAGTTTTAAACAAGAAAAAGTTTGTAATTAAAAAAAAAAAAAGAAAGAAAGAAAAAAGAAGAAAAGAAAGAGGGGGAAAAAAACATGTAAAAGATGTAAGCAAAATCCTATACAAAGTAGCCTGGTTAGGCAAATGTACAAACAAATTACAGTTTTAATCCTGTAAGTATTTAATATACATCATTGCAAGGAGCAGGCCCCTTAGTGTGAAAAATAAAAACTTTGTCCTAATGAAAAAATCATGACAAAGAGGGGTCCTGTTAACCCCAAAAGGCAAAGAATTCGTGAAGAAAAATAATGAACAAAAAGACTAACATACCTGCGTCCGATACAATTTCCTTCTAAAATTAAACTTAACTAAAAAACGTGGAAAAAGTTTTCCAGGAAGTCACGAAGGCCTTATGAGTGCTACCAGAATTAAAAATCAGTCTATTTCTATCTATTGGAGAAGTATGACACAGAAGCAAGTTAACTTAATTTTGCAGAAGACAATGGAATTGTCCGGCTTGTGGGGGAAAAAACATCGGGGACTGAGAGAAGTCGAGGAAGGAGGCAACTCTTTCAAAATGGCGTCGTGCTTAAGAAAATGCCGTTTCGAAAAGCTATTATTTAAACAAAATAGCTAAAATGGAATGCAATTTTCAAGTGGCCAAAAGCAAATTGAAATGGAAAAAATCAGAAAATTGTTAAAGTCGTAATTCTTCACGCTAACGGGTTCTGAAGCGTCTTATGAAAGGAAAAATGCCCTTAAAAGTAATAACAGGCAAAGGTTGGCCAGTAAATCGTGGTATTATACAGTAAATATACTGAAGTTCTTGGCCAAATTTTGAGAGAAAAGAGTTTGGTGTACTGAGAATCTATGTTACATTTTTACATTAGATTACCTATTTTAGTCATCCATTATCTACCTTCCTTTCGGGTTTGGGTAAAAAATTTCATGTCACTAAAACAAGTAATTTAAAATAATAGTAGGTACGTAAATGCCAGCTTTTTTTAAGGATTTTTTAATAACTGCTTTTGGAATTCGATTGCTCTGTAAGGTGCTAATGAAGTAAAGTATTTCTTCTTGTAGAAGGTCTGTGTTATTACAGATTCTTTTTATTCTTAGAAGTTGTGAATTGATAGTAATAACAATGACCCTTTTCAAAATATTAGAAGTCCACTAAGTGAGCTTGAGCGTGTGAAATTTGAAATCTCCGCGTTTGTCATAAATTTTAATACAATTCTAATTAATAATTTGAATATCAAGGTAAACTATGTCATTTTGGTGTGCGTTGGTGGCGTTAAGGCTAGTAGGATATATATTTGCTTTTTAAAATTTTTTGTATTTATTAAAGGCAGTTACGTCATCTATACATATCTAAAAACGTGCTGGTATACTTGTGCTCATCTTAATTCAGCGAACGTATAAATTTTAATTCTTGAATAAAAAGGAATAGTCCAAGGATTGCTGTTGAGCTATTTCCGCACGTATTCCTTGGACTTGTTTAAAGATTTTGTTATCAAATTGCAGATAATTGTTAACTAGTACACTGCTGAGGAAAAGTTTCTATGCTTCTCTAGTGACTATTGTAAGGATCTGTGGAAAAATCTCAGGGAGAGTGAGGATGTTATTGTGAATTTCTTCTAATGGCAAAGTGGTGTACAAATTTTCGAAGTCGTAACATTGAATGTGGTCTATTTCTAGTGAATTCAACGTTTCAATTATTTTTTCGTTGTTATTAATAATCCAGTTGCAGTGCTGATCGTGAAAATCGAAATTATTAATGATATCTAGTACCTGTTTAAGTTTCTGGGCAAAAAGATAGTCGATTTCTTTTAAAAAAATTTTGTACCATTTGCAGTGTATCTGAATTTGATAGGAGTCTTGTGAAATTTAGGAAGAGCATAGAGATTTGCAAACTTATTATAATATTTGTTGGGACTAATTTTGAGCCTTCTATGCAATGCTGTGAATTTTTTTAGAAGTATTTTAGCGTTGTTTTTAATTGGCTGATAAGGGCTGGTGCTAAGTAATTCCTTTTGAATTAAGTCATAGTAGAATTGTTTTCAAATGATACTGAAATTATTGCTCGCTTTGTCGATTTTAGTAATGGTGAATCGATCTTGCAGTAGCTTGATTTGAATTTCCAGAGATTTCTTGTCGTGAATCAAAGCTGGTTGCATAAGATTTCATAGTTTTCCTTGTGCAAAACCTAAGCCTAAATTTAATTTTCAAGGGCTGACTGTAACAACAAGTTGTTTAGAAAAATAATTCTATGCTATTTACCGTTGAGATAAGGAGAGCCTAGCCTTTTCCCCTATTTTGTAAAAGTTGCAGCTCATGTATATTTGTTTGTCAATCAAACGTCAACACCAAGACTCCAAATAGGGGTATATAGTAGCTGAAACCAATTTTTCTGTTCATACTAACCTTCTAGGAATCCAAAGTAGATCATTTACACTAGGTGACAAGAAAATTTTCATCGAAGTGTCTTAAAATACTTTATTGTGTGATAGGGGCTTTAGGAAGTCTTCTATAGAGGCAAATTTTTGCAATCAGTAATTGGTTACCAATCAATTACTGATTTTCATTCATCGTTCCTCATTTTGCTTAGTATAGAATATTTTAAGCTTCATTGCATTTTATTTCGTCGTATCTGAATACTTATTTAATTTTTCAATGCTTTAGATAAAAAGTACGTTGTATAACACATATTGATTGTTCCCAATAATATGACGAGTTAATGACTTTTTAATAAAATGTTAGATATTTTCTGGAATTTTTTTTTAGCAAAATTGCTAATAACAGCATGTTTTATTTTGAAAATTCATAATGTTCAGTTTTTTTTGTGAAGATAAAGTGCTTTTTGTATGATTCTAATGAATTTTAAGTAGTTAAACAGATGAAAGGAAATTCCCAGTAAAATTTTAAACATTTCTAAGAAAATTTCTGTTGCGCTACTACAAATAAACGTCCTAATACAAAGATTTTTTGACACAAACTTAGACTGCTCCAGAATTCATTAGCGCAAGGAATATAGGAATTTTTTAAAGAATTTTTAACATAGTTTAACGATTTTCGATATATTAAAGGGAGAAAGCAATTTGTCACTTGCTAAAACCTTTACCCAGCATCCCTTATACCAGAACACATCATTCAATATTTTCCTCCATCCCAAAAATGCAGTTCTACTTCCCTAAATTTATGAACTAGAAAAAAGAAGAAAAAAAAAATTTTTTTTCCATTATATCATTGCCATTTTTTTCCCTTAACGTAACTTTTAGAAGGAATAATTTTGTTTTGAAAGGAAAATAAATAGAAGTATTCAAAATGAATGGAAAGTAGTTGCTCTGTGGAGGAAAAATAGTTTTTTTACAGGTGAGCTTTAAACCTTTTTGTAACAAATGGGAACATTATTTGTGCAAATGCTTTGTAAAATTTGTGTCTCTTTTCAAAGGAGGGTAAGTATTACCAGTCTAAATGTTATCTATAATTCATGGAATGTCACACATATCATTATAGCACTAAATTAAAGCAGTAGACAAAAGTCTGTAATCAAAAGGCTTATTTTTACGCATAATGTTCTATCTGTGACAGCAATGATGGGTGAATTTTCTGTGCATTCACTTCTATAATTCACGGCAAGGCTTTTAAAAGAATTATAAACTTAATAGTTTACACTTACCATTTTGTCTCGGATGATGCAGAGTATCTGTTAATTAGGTCATAAGTAACTGTAGCCCTAATTTACTAAATTATTTCTTTTTTCATTAAAATAAACTGGTACAGTTTTCTCCCTTAAACAGGGCGATATATGAAAATATCATTTCTTTTCAGTGATGAATCTCAGCACCTCAGCTCAACTCTCGTATTTATTGCCAGAAGATTTTAAACCGCCTCCTTCCGTTTCGACCGCACCCGTGGAATACTTTCCTTACTTCAAGGGGCGATATCTGGCTGTGGCCGCCTCTTTGAACGGCGGAAATGTTCTGGCTGCTTTCGTTAAGATGTTACAGCAGTGGTCTCATGAACTGGGTAAGTTAACTGTCATAAATGTTTATTCTGTAATGCTTATTGAACATCATAAATATTGTTACGGATTTGGTATTTAAATAGTTAATGTTAGTTGAATTGTAAATTAAATGGTTTTATTTCCCGTGCAGTGCAGCGCGTGACGAATATTAAATTGAAAATACAAGAGCACGTGCATTTAATATTAAATTAAAAAATATCTCTTTTTGATTTCGAGAAAGTTCCAGAAAGTTCTCGCGCGCGATTTAAAAATTTTATAAAAAGGAGGAAAACCTCTCAATTCAGTTAGTCAGTGATTTTTAAGTCAGTTTCTTGTTGCTTTAAGAGTTTGTTTAGAAAACTGCTCTTGTTGACTGTAGCGAATTCGCGGATTAGCTTTCTTTAGCTGTTTTTGAATTAAATTCTTTGAACGTTTGAGTAGTTAAAAGATAACTACTGTGAGATTTTGTAATACTGCACGAATATTTGAGGAAATTTAAGCATATTTGTTGTGATAATAATAAATTTTTGTTCATTTTTCATCGGACTTGTGCATTCAGTTCAAACGAACCCGTACGCACAGAACAATATTAAACCGATCAAAACTATTGCTGTTTGCATTTTCTTAATATCATAAAAGTATTAGGTTTCAAGTCAGCCAGTCATGAATTTCTTAGAATAATCGCAGCTAAGGTACATTTCCCTTAAAACTCAGTCTTATCTGTAACTAATCGGATGAGAGGCGGATAAACATTGGTGGTTTACCTCTAGTTAAATCTCGTTGAAGGGACTAACTGGATGGGGGCTTCATGTTTTCCGTCATGTGTGACATGCATATAAACTGATTTCCTTTAAAAAACCCTCCACAAATCATCCCTTCCCTTACGCAAATAGCCTAATGTACTTTGCCATAATCAAGTAATCCAGTCCTATAAAACTTAGTTCACACTCAACACTAAAATTTAAAAAGGTTGGTTATATTATTAAGATGGCAACAAGGTTAGATAAGTTTTGAATTTATGAAGATTTAAACTGCTTTATTTATTAGTTCAAAGGGGCTTTGTCCCTAAAGAACTATTGTTTTCTTTTGTGATTTTGCGTCGGAACCCTATAAACGGCGTATTACTTTTCAGATCGCTGCCACTAAGTACTTTTGCTCTGTATTATATTTGAAGAAATTAAATAATGAAGAATCTACTTAAATGTGTGTATGTTTCTCGCATTGTGATAAAACAACGGTATCTAGAGGCATCCAATTTTGAATTTCGTAATCCTACTGCGAATATGGACAACTGGAAGCCCAAATTTGGAATATAGAATTTCTTTTATTATCGATTTCATATTTTGTAAAACTTTAACGAATTTTTGATTAACAAACTCAAGGATTTCAAAGCGAGCAATGGCAACGTTGACCAGAGAAAAACATTTTTATCTCCAGCGCGTGAGTCTCTGTATCGGAAATTCTAAAGATTGCTAATTTTAAAACTGTTTTGCGATATTGCTGTTGAGCTGGATCTTATGGTTTAAGTGCAAAGAACATGATATTTAATAAATAAAGGTAACACACAAGGCTTTAAAAAAACGCCCCTTTGGACAAAATTTAAAAATTTGATTTTTTTAGTCCAAAGAGATTTGAATCCCGAAGGACTATTAGTTTCGTTTTGGCATTTTGCGTCGGACGGATAAATGTCGATTCACTTTTCAAACTGTTGCCATAAAATGTTAGAGTCCTGCATTATATTTGAAGAAATTAAATAATGAAAATCTGCGTAAATGTATGTATATTCTCACATTGTCATAAAATAACGGTACATAGAGTCATCGAATTTTGAATAACGTAATCCTCCAACGAATATGAGCATGTGGAAGACCAAATTTGAAATTTGTTTTATGATCGATTTCCTATTTTTTAAAACTTTGACGAATTTTTGATTAACAAACTCAAGGATTTCAAAGCGAGCAATGGCAACGTTGTGCAGAAAAAACATTTTTATCTCCAGCGCGTGAGTCTCTGTATCGGAAATTCTAAAGATATGCTCGTTTTAAAACTATTTTGCGATATTGCTGTTGCACTGGATCTTATGGTTTAAGTGCGAGGAACATGGTATTTAATAAAGAAAGGTAACACACAAAATGTTAAAAAACGCCCCTTTGGACGTAATTTAAAATCTGAAACATTTCAGATTTTTTTTTTTAAATGTTATGCCCCCGCCCCCCCGAAAAAAAATCTCTTTGATTTCGAGCTCATGGTTGCAACAATACTCTTATCCCTGGAAGAAAACAGCGCGAAGAAAAGGAACTTGAGAGAATATTTTGTGCTGTCTTTGATAATGAATAAAGGCATGATGATTAGCATACGTTGTAAGGCGATTATTTGAGCTACGGGTTGGTAAAAAGAGTTGGCTATAAATTTTAATTTTAAGTAAAAATTCATGACATTTAAAAAAAGTAAGCAACTTGTTGAATTCCTCTAAACTTTACTCACGTGATCGGTATCAATGTTTGGTGGTAAATGACATTACCTTACATCTTTTTATTGCTGTTTAAATCGAATAAATTAGTTTTAAAACAAAAGTTTTGTCGCTAAAAGTATCAAAGATTCTCTCATATTGTTTTCTTGCAATAATTATTTAATGTACTGAAAATCTTATGGTTCTCCATATCTTATGGTTCTTATCTCCTGAATTATTGTAAATTTTTTCATATTATGGCTCATTATATTTATGAAGATCGGGACTATAGTGCTTTTCTGTATCATTTATTTAAATCAATTAAATTACATTTTACTAGCGGCTAACTAATCGAGATTGCAATAAAGGTTATAATACCAAGTCTGTTATTACTCATTTAGTTAAAGCTAATTCTTGAAAGAGATGTTCAGTAAAGCAAGTTAAATTAAATATTGGAATAAAATTAACACAAAAAGCGGTTAAAAAGCATTAATAATTTCTTTTCGTATACTAGTTACACCTTTCTACCATTCTTATATTTGTTCTGGAACTGAGCACCAAAAAGAGGCGTTGTGTTGTTATAATGTTCAACTAAATAAATTTCAGTCTGAAATTCCAGCCAGTGGGTTATTTTGATATTGGAAACGTGAAGATGAACAATGCCCTCGCCTGGACTCGAACCTGGACCTCTGGAATACACGCCGCGTCTGCTAACAGTTACACCACGAAGGCATGCAGAAACCAGGGATAAAAATATTTGAAAGTTCATATTGTAAGAATCCTAAGTTTTACTAACGTTTATTTTATTTTAAATCTTTACTATCACTTCTTATTTTCTACTTCCGGCCAGAATTAAAAGCTTTAACTTATTTATGCAAATTTGTCTTGCGAACGCCAAGTACTTAAGTTGTGGCTTTTTGCCAAGCAAGAGAGAGGAAGGAGTTATTAGAAGCAGGCCGCTTGCCATAGTAGTTTTACTCGGTTGCTGGTTGCCTTCAAGGCCAGAGGTTTAATCCTCTTGATAATTTTAAACGTATCGTAGTTTTAGCAGTTCTCTGTACTACATACGGCTTTTGTTAATATACGGCCAATCTTAAAGTAGGACACTTGTTTATTAATCCAAAGTTAGTTTAGTTAGAGTTTTAGTTAATATTTTTATATTCTTACGTTCAGACCACAAGTGGTTGGTCTCTGTATTCCGAAGTCCGGAAATCATTGTAAAGATAGAAAAATAAAGGGTTTCGTATACCCTTCCTGTGTGTATTGTCTACTTCCCACATTTATTGAACATAGCTTTAGTAAGCTCCCTGTTCCGAGTCAGGACAGTTAATGTTCCCAAAGCAAGTAAAGAGGAACACAGAACCTGATAGTGGCGCCCGACGAAGAAGAATAACCATGGCCGAGTTTCAAGAAGAACCTGTGCTGCCTGCAGAAGCGGCTCAGAATCCAGAAATGCCAGCTGCCGCCCTGGAAGGATTTGGTTACATCGTCCAGACCATGCGCGCATCGATGAAACCAGAAGCAACATTTAATGGAAACTCACCGGTAACCAGTTTTTTGGAAAAATTGGATGACCACTTCATGCTGTATCCAGTGCATGAGTTCCAGAAAGTCACCTTAGCTACCAGCGCTTTGAGGGGCCAAGCGCTTAATTGGTTCAAATGTATAGGCAGAAGCCTCTTGGGTCAAGCGGGAAGTCCCACCTATACTTACGAAAATTTTCAAGACTGCCTTAGTAAAAGCCTTCCCTGTCGTAAGAGATCGTGCAAATTAGAAACGGAACTTTCAGCATATATCAGCAAACGAATTCGAAAATCTTTCCAGCTTTATTTTAAGAAAAATTCACGTCTTCAAACTCTTGTATGGAAACCGTCCGGATCCTGAGATAATTCAAGTGATTTTGCCGAGGTTACTTCCCCAAGTACAAGACTTTATTGAATTAAGGAATCCGACTACACTGGAAAAGTTATTTGAGCTAGCAATCCAGTTTGAAAGTAGAAGAACGGCGGACATTGAAAGAAGACGCCAATTTGCAACGAATGAGCAACGAAGCCAATTTGGTGCGCCAAGACCACAGCAAAGTCAAGAACACGGCTACGGAAGCAAAGCGAATCAGTGGGCAAGGAAACCCGAGTATCCAAAAACAACCGGCGAACGTCGACAGTTCAATAGTAAGCCAGAAAAAAAGTCTGAAGGCCAGTGGAAAAAGAAGGAAGGCATGGAAAGGAAGAAACAAAATTTAAACTAAAACGGATTTCTGCTGACGGGAGGGTGCGGAAATCCGAAGGCCAAGAAAACCCCTCTTCCTTCAAGTTAAATACAGTTATGGTGAAAAATTTGACTCTTCCAAAGATTGAAGTTTTGGTGAATAACATCCCAGCCACCGCACTCCTGGATACAGGCGCGCAGTGTTCCTGTGTGGCAGAAGATTTTTTTAGGAAGTATTTCCGTAATACCGCAGATACCGCATATATAATTCGGATAATACGACAGTGTTAGCTGCGCAGGGAGAAAGATGCAAGTGCATAGGTAAATTACCCTTATATATTCGTATCAAGGACGAGCAAGTAAAGA